ACACTGTCACCATTTCTTCTTCCAAAGCTTCCCAATTCTCATCCTTCACTCGAACAGTTCAACGCAAGAACCCTTCTGTTAAAACCCTCTTGTCCATTGGTGGGTGGACTCGCTGTGAGTTCAAGCTTCTCTCAAATGGCGAGCAGTGCCAGTTCTCGCAAATCATTCATTGACTCTTCCATCAAACTTGCCAGAAGTAACAACTTCCATGGAATTGACCTCGATTGGGAATAACCATCTTCAGACACAGACAGAACCAACTTTGGTTCTCTCATCAGAGAGTGGCGATCTTCTTTACTTGCAGAATCAAGATCCTCTGGAAACGCAGTGTTGCTGTTATCAGCTGCAGTGGCTGGATCAGACCAGATTTCGTCATTGAACTATTACGCATTTCTGGAGATTGCGACAAACTTGGATTGGATCAACGTGATGACTTATGACCTGTTCATACCAGATGGGTACCCGAATGAGACACGGCCACCTGCTCCATTGATGAACCCAAGACGACAGTTCAGTGGAGACGAAGGGATTTCGAAATGGAATAAATCGGTTCCACCAAAGAAATTGGCTCTAGGTTTGCCATTTTATGGGTACAAATGGAGATTGAAGAACCCTAACAATGGTGGCTTGTTCGCAGCGGCGGCGAATCCTGCGGTTGGAGCTGTGAAGTACAAGAATATTGTCCCATTGGGTGCGAAGGTGTGCTATAATTCGACGTATGTGACGAATTACGCGCAGAAGGGATCGGATTGGTATGGTTACGATGATAAAAGCTGCTTATGCGAAACAAAGAGGATTGCTTGGATATTTTTGTTGGAACGTTGAACAAGACTTTAATTGGATTCTCTCCAAAACTGGTCAGTGATTCAACATTTCAATCCATTGTCATCATTTTTTGTTTTTGTTTTTGGTTTAAAATCAACATTTTTTTTGTTTACTGGATCAACCTTTACAGTAAAACTTTTTTTAACAAGTCATCCATCAATATACAACTCACTTAAACTTTTATATAAAAAAAAAAGTAATTCATAAAACATTCACATCACACCAGTTCTTCAGCCCAGAAAAAAACAATAGGCTCATTTATAATTGTTGGGCCCTCAAATAATATTTTCACACCCTTGTTTAATTTAAGCGTCAAAAATTAAAGAACTTTTATATAGAATGACTTATGAGCTGTTTAAGTTTTAAGGCTCAGACTGAAGTTACTTATTTAAGTCTATATTTAGTTTAAGCCTAATATTTTGAAGTATTTTAAATTTTTTATTAAATTTAGACTTTTAAATGTGTGTGTACTTTAAAATTATGATTTATATCATTTATTTTAGATTTTAAAAATTATGAGTTATATTTTAGATAATAAATATATGATAGTATAATGTCAAACATAATTTTAAAAATATCAGCCCTAAGCCTAATAAATTGAGGCTGAACTTAAAAAAAAAATTATTGATTTTAGAATAAAAAGGTTTTAAGGCTTGATTTCAAATAATCCAAGCCTATACAACTTAGATAGCCCACTGTTTACTAGCTCTTCACTGATGCTTTAAATTTTAAAGAACATGCCTATTTTTTTTATATAAATTTTGAAAAATAATGAGAAATTATTTTTACTAAATCGGTATCAATTTTTAAATAAAAATATATTAAAAAAACTTGATAAACTATTTTCTGCTGAACTCGATAAAATTATATCAATTCTACTGTGAGATACTATACTTTTCATTTGTTAGCACATTTGGTATTGAAAAAAGAAAATTATACAAGATTGTATTTTTGAAAAATTATACATTTAATCTTTTAATTTTGCACTAAATTTCACTTGTTTTAAATTATTTTTATTCTTAACTTTGAAAAAGTAATAAAAAATTATTTGCCTCGTCTCATATACTGTGAATTTGCTTTACAAAAAATGCTTATACATGAAGTCGAATTCAGAATTTAATCACTCTATAGCACTAATAAAATCAAATAAAAAGTAATTTTTTTTCTTTCAATTTTCACATTATTCAGTTAAGAAATAAATGTGTATGGTTTTTTTCAGAGATTTTCTAAACAATACTATATCTTTTTTTTGTTTAACTAAAAAAATCAGAAGACTTAAAAAAAAAAGAAAGCATTAAAAAGATTGAAAACGTTAAAAAAACATGAAACCTTTCATCTTATTTAAAATTTTAAAATATTTAATAAAATAAAAAAATTAAATTAAAATTGTAAAATTGTCCCTGTTCACTCAAAAAATCAAAATAGATTTTGATCAGAATAGCCAGAACGCAGAAAGACAAGTTCAACATTTCAATTTGATTATGCTCTGAATTTTTATTTTTATTTCTATTTTTTTACATTTTTTGAGGTGCTAATAGATTTCTTTTCATTGTACTGGCAGCTTCTCAAACATGGGGATGATAGATTCAAACTGCAATTTACTATTTAAAGTGAAAGCTGAGATCTAACACGTGGCCTGATAGGATTATGGGAGTTACGTTGCTCCACTTGTTTTCAAGTTCAAATAAGAGAAGTGTCTTTTGCTCAAAAAAAAAAAAAAAAGAGAAGTGTCAACCTATCATCTATCAATATATAAAATAAAACTAAATCTATTTGACCTACTCAAGGGATGTTTGCATATATTTTTTTTTAAATCATATTTTAAATTTATAATTTTTTTTTTGATAGAATTCTTAATTAAGTTTGGCATGTAATGCAAGGAGAGTTGTGCAAATGATAAGATGGCCTCATGTGTCCTCGTACCTAGGCATCGGACTGCCAACTAGTGTTAGGCCCAATCTCGGTTAAACATATGTTTGTATATATATCTGGTAAGACTTATATATTTAAGAAAAAATATAATTTTAAATTCATATATTTTGTTCACATTTTGTTATTGGTCTTTATATTTTTTTTAGTGTTTTTGGTCCTTGTATTTTTGTTTTTTATTATTTTAGATTCTTCATGAATAAAGTATAGGGACCATGGAATTCATGGAGAGACATAAGACAATAAAAATAAAAGTATAAGGATAAAAAACATAAAAAAAATACAAGGATAAATAACAATATGCGAGCAAAGTATAGAAATTTAAGATTATGTTTCCTTCATATTTAACGTACTTCCTTCCAATCAAAACAAAACAAGTGGACTTTAATAGGGAGACTGACAAGTAACGATCTTGTAAGAAAACTAATATCGAATTAAGAATTTTAGTACTAAGATATGGGAAAAGAAGTATTGAATTTGGAAACTTTAGTATTGAAGAAATTTTAGTTTGACAATAATTTTTTTAGGGTCCTTACTTGTCATTCTCCCATTTTGATATGTTTATAATATTAATAACAAGATTTTGTTATATAGTAGAGGGACTTTTAGATATATAACCTATTTAATAGGACCAAACAAAGATAATAGCCTAGAATTTCAAAAAAAAAAACAATAAAAGACATTAACTGAAAAGAAAATTATAAATATTAACTCAAATAAGTGTAAATTTAGAAATTTTAATTATAGATAAATTACTTAAATTTCAAATGTAACTATTAGAATGTATATGAAATTTTTATTTATAATTATTTAAATTGATATTTATAATTTATTGTTTTAAAAAATTTGTTAGGGACCTCCCAGTCACTAATTTAAAGTTTTGGAAATTCTCCTTTACATCCTAACCGATAAACTCATGGATTAAAATGTTTAAACCAAGATACATAAAATTGGATCAGTTATTGAACCAGTCATAACACTGGGCCACGGGTTAGTGGTTCAATCGGGATTGAACCAGGGGTTAAATCGATGGTAAACCGATCATGATTAAAATAATACAGTTTAAATAAAAAGACATTAATTATAAAAACATTCAACCAAATCCAACCACTCAAAAGTCTAATAATAATAAAATACAACACTTCAAATATATATCCTTACAATTACAACCCTTCAATCTCAAAGGTCTAGAGAAGAGACGGAGACAGCAAAGATGAAGATAGAGCTGGAGAAGTGTAACAGTACAGAGCCACCCCTTGGGCCTCGACTCGGTACTGGACTCTGGCCCATCACTGGACCAAAGCCGACTTTCCCACAGGTGGTACTGTGGTTATTCCTCACCACTGCCTCTCCAGGGTCTTTTGGAACCTCCCCAGACTCGAATCTCCAACCTTAATGAAGTTGAGGCGAAGTCTGGTACCATTGAGTCAAGTGACCCAATGGTACCAGACTTCGCCTCAACTTCATTAAGGTGGTAGAGGTTGGAGGTTCGAGTCTGGGGAGGTTCCAAAAGACCCTGGAGAGGCAGTGGTGAGGAATAACTACAGTACCACCTGTGGGAAAGTCGGCTTTGGTCCAGTGATGGGCCAGAGTCCAGTACCGAGTCGAGGTCCAAGGGGTGGCTCCGTACTGTTACATAAAAGGCGCCTTTTATGTAACAGCCCTCCTAGGTCACCACTGCCTCTCCAGGGTCTTTTCCCAGGCGCTGGACACTTCCCTCTCACAAGGTAATGCCGGCTTTCCCACTGGTGGTACAGTGGTTATTCCTCACCCCACCCTCACGGGGGTCTTTTGGAACCTCCCCAGACTCGAACCTCCAACCTCTATCACCTTAACGAAGTTGAGGCGAAGTCTGGTACCATTGAGTCAGATTGTAACATCCTGATTTTTTATATAATAAAGAAATTGTGGAATTTAGGTTTTGAGAAAAAAAATGATAATAATAGGAATTTATATTATTTGAGGTTATTTAGAAATAATATTATGATTAGGTATTTAATTATGAATTTAAAAATTTAAATTTAAAACCACATAAGCAATATTTAGTTAAGATATAATACATAAATAATTTTTTTTATGTGTGTGTTAAAAAAAAAAGAGAAGGTAGAAGGAAAAAAAAAAGGGGGGGTGGAAGGTTGTTGTTTCTAAGTCCCACATTGGTTAGATGAGGGAAGAGAAGAGGTGCCTTCATGTATAAAAAGGAGGGGGTGTGTGCATTAGGAAGCATGAGAGGCTAAGATGCAATTTAGAGAAAATTGCAACTTTTGGCCCAAAGGTTTGAATAATTAAATTCAAACCTATAGTTTTTTTTATATAATTTTGGGACTCACAATCCCATTTTTATATTATTTTTCTCTCTTCCTCTCACGTTGCTCGGCGTTTTCTCACAAGGGGGGATTATTTTCTTTTTCTTCAGGTATGTTCTAACTTTTCTGTTTAGATTAGCATTTAAAAATTTATTTAATTACAAAATTAATTTTATAGTTATTTTCTAAATAATATTAGCTTTCTAGTGATATGATTATTTTGTAGGATAGAGTAAATATTTTGATTAGGATTTTTTCTATAGGATAGTTAATCTGATGATATGATGGATTTAAAAATATAGGTTAAAATTCTTAGGGATATAATAAATATTATAGAATATTTTCTTGAGGTTGAAACTCATGTTTAAGAATTTTTGAGTTAAAATCTAGATCTATATGGTTGAATTTATGTGGAATCTGAGACGTAGGGATAAACCTATGATTATTAAATATTTATTTAAGTATGAATATGTATTTTTGAGGTTATAGAAAGGTGATTTGAGGCTTCAGGATAATTCTAAAATTTTTAATTTATTTTTGGATGAATTTTTAGAATGTAGAAGGGTGAAATTGTGATACTAGAAGTGAATTGAGGATAAAAAAAAAATAGTTCATTAGGGTACGAGAATTTTAGAAAAGAATTTGGGAAGTTAAATGAGGCATAAATCTTAAATTAGTGTTAATATGGATTATAGATTTAAGACTTTCTAACTCTTTAAATTAGAGTTATTTATTTTAATGTAAAATTAATATATAGTATTGTGAAATAATTATGTAGATTATATTGACAAAGATAGTGGTGAAAAAGGAGTTGTGAAGGGGAACTTGTTATTCAAGACACAAGGTAACCATTATTAATGTGTTGTGATGAGTGTGTTTGTGAATAGTTATGTGTTGACTTGTTGTTTGGAAAAACTATGAATTATTGAAAATAAATACTGTTATATACTTGTTTGAAATTATTGCCAAGTGGGTCAAAAATTTATTTTTATTTATCATGATGAGATATTATTGTTCGGATATATTCCTATTTGGATATTTGAATGATGCATGACTTGTCAGGGTATTTTAATGCATGGTGTTAATGGGAATTTCTGTTTGGTTAATTATTACCATGTGGTAAGCCCTCATTGGACCCAATGAGTGGCGTGTCGCTTGGTCCAACTCACCTTTGGCCGGGTGATTTGGCGTCCGAGCATGGTGAAAAGAGGATATAAGGTGCAGTCATGCAATTAAATACTTGTTCGGTTTGTTTGAAAATATTGTTCGGTTAAATGTTTTGTGTGCCCACTTAGCAATCGCATGATTAGTTACATCCGCATGCATCATTACATATTAATTTTTGGTTACTGGGGACTTTTAAGTCTCATTCCCCGTGGTTAACATTTTTACAGGAGCGAGTCCGGCCGAGAAAGCACCAGAGGTGTAACTATGGTGTATGAGACACCATCTTTTACGTTGCCTCTTATTTTGGATTATACAATGTATCTTGTGCCAACTTAGGACATATCTTCTTTGTGAAGCATGTAAACTCTAATCCTTTTTATTAAAAGTATTTATATGACCAAGAGGATTATATCTGTCCCTCTTGATTCATGACCTGATTTAAATATCATGCCATGAGGATCCTGTCTGTCCCTCATGGTTCTAATTGTTTTTTTTGAGATATTTTAAGACCTGTGGTATATTGTCTTGGATGTATCGTGGTAGAAATTTTTCTACCATGATAAGGGTTCAATAAAAAAAAATAAAAAAAATGATTTGTTGAATTAATGATTTGCGAAAAATCGGTCTGTAAATTTGAGGGTGTTACAAGAAGAGACGGAGACCGAGCTGGAGAAGAGACAGAGACAGCAGAGACAGAGATAGAGCTAGAGCCTGGAGAAGAGATAGAGACTGAGCTGAAAAAGAGACATCGATTAGGTTAGGGGAGAGGAGAGACACAGACGAAAAGCTGAACCAAATGTTGTTTGAAAATTTGAATTGGACTTAGCATGCTCTGCCTCTAATTTTTTAGTTTTTGACTTCGGTTTCACTTTTTTTTATTTTATTTTTGAACTCAACACTCTAAAAAATTAAAAATGAAAAAAAATCTCTCAAAACGATGTCGGGGGTTTTGTCTGAAAAAATAATAACCTGATTAACAAGTTACACGGATTCATTCTCTCACCAAACAAAGGGATTGGGTCACCGGTTTTCGAGTTGACTCGACTGGTCCGGTCCGGATTTCAATACCATGGTTTAAATCTCAATTTTTAAAAGAATTAATTACAAACAATTATTACACACACATCTTAGTATTTACTAAAATAAATTATAATGAACCATATTATTTAGTAGAAAACAAAAAAACAATGAAGTGTCTGCCTTATATTTCATCCAATTGCATGGATAAACATTTCTTGTTTATAAAACAAATATAATTTGTGGTGTTAACCGTTAGTCTCTTTTTTATACTAAAAAGTGCATAAAAAAGCCCAGCATTGTCGTCCTCACCTTCTTAATTGTAGTTTTGCAATGACTGCTCTTCCTTTTCAAAGCATATGCTAACAAGTACGGATTGTCTTTGATTTCTTCCTTAAATTACGTGTCCCATGTCAACAAGACAACTTTTTCAAAAAATAAATTATTAAATACTCATGTATTAAAAATATAAAATATTTTTAATTAAATTTATATTTTTCAGTAAAATAACTATTTACTTTAAATTAATTCTATCTTTTTATATTTACTTCTATTAAATACTCTATAATAAATAAAGTCATTAGTAACAGAGATACTTAAAAAAAAGTAATAATTACACTTCAAAAAATTAAAAATGCTTTAGATTTTTTAACATCCAACTTCTTAAAAAATATCTTATATTTTTAAACGGATAGAGTATTCTATTCTATGGCTATTATATGATGCCTTCTTAAAGAATTATTTAACTCTCAATATAAAATGCTTGATGAAGTATTAGTTATATTTTTTTAATATTACCCCCTATTTAAACCCATTAACTATGAGAAAAAAATATAATGTAAATTTAAATTTTTTATTTAAATAGGGATAAAATTGAAAGTTTATTCTATTTTCAGATAAAATTAATAACTTAACCACATATTCTATGTTTTAATGAGAAAATAAGGTAGTTAGATGTGTCTTGTGATAAAAATTGGAGGAATATATAGTGAAGAAAATCAACATCCTTGATTTGGAAATGGCTTTTATCCAAGGGAAATTACATCCAAGTCCAGTCTCATACAAGGAAATTTATTACCAAAAAGTTTTTATGAAATTCACAAAATACGCTTAAGTCCTAAAGTATGCACATTTACAATTGATTAATGGTATTGATAACTGGTCAACGGCCATTTACAATTTATTATTAGTTATCATTTTCTTTTACAAGTTATAAATAACCGTTACCTAATTATTAATGCCTCTAATTAAATTATAAATGCACAAAATTTAAAACTTGAGAGTATTTTGTGCATTTTATGGGGCATCTTGTAATAAATTTTTTATGTGGGACCTAAATATAATTTTTTCTTTTTCATAAAGAGATCATGATAATTTATGGATTGCCAAAAATTAAATTTGATAACTTTTAAAAATATATAAATTAGTATTTATAGTTAAATTTAATTTAAACAATTCAAAATTACAATCAAGACAGAATGAAGAAACTTGGTGAAAATAAATCAATTTGGCTTTGGACCATTTTTCGCTCATGTAAATGTGAAGATTATCACCCAAGCATCCTAATTAGAAATTAGAATTGACCACAAATAGTAAACACTGGAATTGTCCTCACTCCTCTTAAGCCCTGGCTCTACTGCTCTAATAACAAAATCTAGACTATCTAGATTTAACATTTTATTTTTACCAAAAATAAAAATTGTAAAAATTGGCCACCGAATTTGGATAGTCTAAATTAATATCAATGGTCCAAATAGATATATTCTAAATAGTGAATATTTAATATGAATTTTTTAAATTTAATATTATTTTTTTTTATAAATTAACCATGATATATTCTAGATAGTGTAGATATCTATTAACAAACACTTTTGAAAAAAAAAATATTTTTTAAAAATTATGTTAAATATTTTGCATCTAAACTATATATTGTAATCACCAGTGTAAAAATCCTATCTAAATGGTTAAAATTATTATCTAAATCAGTTAAAATTAATCATTTAAATCGGTTTGATAAGACTCATTTAGATATATGATAGATATCTAAACCGGTTATACAATGGGTTTAGATAAATCAAATTCTAAACTAGTTGTAAAACTAATTTAGATAAAAATTAAATAAAATAATTTTAAATACTTTAATATTTAAAAAATAAACTTCTAAATCGGTTATGACGTCATAACTGGTTTAGATATTATTAACATCTAAACCGGTTATGACCACAACCAGTTTAGATGTTATAGAAACTTTGTTTTATTAGAAAAAATCATTCAATTTTTACACTTAACCTAATCATGATAGGCTGTAAACTGCAAATTAAAAGTAATATATATATCCAGCCAGCTAGAATACAATCCAATTTAATCAAATTAATTTAAATATATTTACAATTTCATTTAATATTCAATATTCAAATAAGTTCAATAAATTTTTCTAATTCAACTACACCTATCCTAAACTTACTCATTCAGTAGATTTTTGTTGTAAAGCTCTAATATAAATAGTCACCAATATTTTCTAATTTCTTGAATTTTTATTGTGGAAATGGAGAGGAATCACTGGACATTTGAAAAAATCGGGGACAAGAAATTTAACTTAGCAATTTCAAGCAAACAAATGATATATCATACGATTAAAATTAGATTTACTTCTTCACTAAACTCTAACAAGCCAACTGTTATGAAAATTTAACATGAGTACTAATATCGGGTAAAGAAAAACATGTAACACAAAAAAGGATAAAATGTGTACACAAATAAACAATTCAAAGGATTGAATACGCCCTGTTATACTAACAATTCAATCTTTTAGTATTCTTCCTAAAATCTATACATAGGAACATTTAATCCAAATGTTTGATGTAGAGAGTTCATCCGCATCAGTAGTAGATTGTTCATTTACATTCCATCTACAAATAATAATAATAATAATAATAATAATAATAATAGAAAAATTATTTAATTAAATTATAAAATATTATATTACTTATGAATTTCAACCACACCGCCGCTCTGCGTGTCACGCACTTTTATACAGATAATCTGATTAAGAAGTGCCACACGACAGCAAATGAATTTTTCAGGTCAGGATCATGAGATTCAAATACCTTTACTCACTCTTCATGAGAACATATGCATATAAAAAGATAAAAACTTCGACTAACATGTTCAGTTTCAAGCACATAAATTGATGTAAATTTTATATAGAGAAAATAAATTTCTTGGGCCAGAGTCATATCGTATTAAATATTCATCTTTATGTTTTCGTCATCACGCATATTCATATTCTGCTACACTTTTTTCACGAAATCTCCAATCAATAGCTAGCTAGGTGCATAACATGTATGTATGTATGTATGTATATATTGCGGAGAGAAACAAGGATATAACAAGTGACGGTAGGAGAAGCAAACGTGCTTACTTCCAAGGTGAGAATCAACACACGGGTTCCATGTTGACACTACCTAATTTGAGTTTAGAGAGAACACAAATTCATCCAACAATTCATACACAATTAAGTTAAAAAACTTAACTCCACAAGTTCAATGCGAAGGGATATAATAAAGAACAATTTTAAGAAACATTTCAACAAACACCTTATATGCGCAACTCAAAAACAATAAGCTAAAGCCAATATCAAGCTCTGTTTCCTTCAATTTAAAACTAGTATGAAACTCACAGTCACATAATCAGATTCAAGGATAGAAGATCATGAAAATTAATTAGCTAATTGAACCTCAAAGCTATAGATACGATGAAGCTTAGATATTGGAATTTCGGATGCTTCTTAGGAATTAAATAACATACCTAGGTTGAAGCACGACTTAATGCAAAAGATTGAAGCAGGAGAAACAAACAAGATGCTCAGTGAAGGTGAAGAAGCTCAATGATTGTGCAAAACCCCAGATTGAAGCTATGAATGAAGAACATGAACCCAATGGACAAATAAATCACAGAAGAATAAGCATTTAACGGCACAAGAATAGCATTCAGAGTTTGAATCTGATACAAAAATTTGGGTTTCAAGATTTCGACTTTGATTATGGGTGATTTTGGGTTCAAGGGTTTGAATTTCAAGGCTTCACACTATGAAAAATAACAGAGACTCTGTTTTATGAATTGCAAAACAATATCTAAACTGGTTGTTAATTATAACTGGTTTAGATGTACCGGATTTTTTTCCCAAAAATTATAATTTATAACTAAACCAGTTACATATTATAATCGATTTAGATGTTATTTCAATAATAAAAAAAAATAAAAATTTAATCAATATCTAAATCAGTTATAATGTGTAACTATTTTAGTTATCATAATCTAAACCAATTTCCTTAAGAACTGGTTTAGATATCACTTCAACCTTCCACTTACTTATAATAATGTTACCGTCTCCCCTTTCT